ATGTAGCGTTATCAAGTGTGATCATTTCGGACTGGTGCTTTTGGGAATTTTATTTTCAGACTTACTCACCCCTCTTTCTTACTATACGCTGATAGGCCATCTACTCTATTAAAATAGAGTCACTTTTTTTATCTACCTATAAGTAGTCTACTAACTAGTACCATTTATCTACAATCCTAACAAATATCAATATCATGTATAACAATATAACCTTATTTTATTTATCCTTTAAAAATAGCATCTACTTTTGTTGGTTATTTATATTTGTACTGATTTATATTTGTACGTAACATATATTACCTTCACATAGTATGATATTTTATAGAGTAGATATAGTACGTATATGTAATATTTTTATTTAATATATTTTTTAACCATGATCTTTATGTATTAGAAAAATATATCCTATTATACTACTATACATGAATATTATAAGTAGTCTAATTAAAAATAATCTTGCCATGACATAGTATACATGTCATGTGTATTAGAAAATTACACACTACTATACTATTATACATACATATTATAATCAGTCTAATTATAAGTAAGACACACACAATATATATACATATATATAATAAACAATTCATAATTATTTCACCAACAATAATATATATCCAACTAGACTTTTTTTAAAAATAAACATATTTCACCAACAATAATAACAACTAACCTAAACATATGTAAAAGAGTAGATATATTAATAGAGTAGATGCCAAGCATTATGGGCTTTAAGAAATTATTGTAGATGGCCTAAATTTTTTTTAATTAGTTAATAATTATGTGAAACTGAACTATTTTTTTTTTTTTGTGTTACATATTAAATATTTTTGTTTAAATATCATATTAAATAGGTTACTTAATATATTCCAAATATCTTAAAATAGTAACATCATCTAAATATATGGTAAAATACAATTTCATTTTAAATTTCAGTTATAAAACTTTTATCCAAAAAATAATATATAAAATATGTATATATATAAATCTGAATTAAATTTGTGGTTTTACAAAATAATAATATATCCGCGCAGACGCGCGGATCAAAGTCTAGCTATGCACTATCAGCGCATTGAATGTTCTACGTGATGCCTTAGGAGATGCGGGATGTGTGATCATATGATGCATCATATGATGTATATCTGTATATGGAGATGCGGGATGTGTGATCTAGCTATGCACTATCAGCGCATTGAATGTTCTATGTGATGCCTTAGGTGTCTTGATTGTTCATGTTAGAGCTAAACTTCCCTAGTGGGAGTTCTATTTACTCAAGTATGTGTTTTGCGTGTTTAGCATCCCATACCTCAATGAGTGACTCCCCTGTTACTCACCCCTCTTTCTTCCTCCTTTTCAGGTGACGATCAAGTGTGATCATTTCGAACTGGTGTTTTGGGAATTTTATCTATTTATTTTCAGACTTATGTTTTTATCGATATTTTTGAGATTTTTTATGTGATTTGGATATATGGAGTTGGAGATGATTTATGCAATTTAATAAATGGAGATTTTAGACATTTTTATTTATTTTATCATTATGGAAATGCGGGTGTTATAATTTAAACTAGACTTTGATCCGCGCGTCTGCGCGGATATATTATTATTTTGTAAAACCACAAATTTAATTAAGATTTATATATATATATATATACATATTTTATATATTATTTTTTGGATAAAAGTTTTATAACTGAAATTTCAAATGAAATTGTATTTTACCATATATTTAGATGATGTTACTATTTTAAGATATTTGGAATATATTAAGTAATCTATTTAATATGATATTTTAAAAAAATATTTATTATGTAAGTCAAAAAAAAAATAGTTCAGTTTCACATAATTATTAACTAATTAAAAATATTTAGGCCATCTACAATAATTTCTTAAAGCCCATAATGCTTGGCATCTACTCTATTAATATATCTACTCTTTTACATATATTTATGTTAGTTGTTATTATTGTTGGTGAAATATGTTTATTTTTTTAAAAAAGTCTAGTTGGATATATATTATTGTTGGTGAAATAATTACGATTTTTTTATTATATATATATATATATATATATTGTGTGTGTCTTACTTATAATTAGACTAATTATAATATGTATGTATAATAGTATAGTAGTGTGTAATTTTCTAATACACATGACATGTATACTATGTCATGGCAAGATTATTTTTAATTAGACAACTTATAATATTCATGTATAAAATATTAGGTATTTAGATAGTATATTTTTTTATTTAAATATTATTAAAAGAAATATATATATATATATATATATATATATATATATATATTTAATCTGAATATATATTAAATGAGACTTCTCACTCATGGCTTTATAATAACTTTTTTATTCTTATAAAACATTTAAATCATTGATCATAAAATTTTCAACATGAGTTTTTAATGGTTTTACTTATTCAGTTTTCAAAATTCAAAATATAATATATACAGAAAATATATTTTTATTAGATGGTTAATGTTGTGGTTTAATTTATTTTAATAATATAAAATTAAACAAAAGGAACAAAAGATACACAAATTTCTATCAAAAATTTATTAGATTATTAATTTTCATTGATATTTTAATCATATTATGTAATTCCGTAGGTTTTATTTAGGGAATGAAGAAAAACATAATTAATTTTATGGTTACTTTAATGAAAATATAATACATGTCTAGATAAACAAACTTATTTTTTTAAGGATTTTAAAAATGTTTCTAGTTATCACACATGACATAGCTCAAAGATTATAATATTTTTCAAATAATACATAAGGTATTATTTATGGTTAGTTTAATAAAAAATGTAGTATATGTCTAGAAGAAACAACATATTTCTCTAAACGATTTTTCTAAAGATCATTCTATTGATGACATATTGTATATATCTCAAAGGTTGTAATTTTCTCAAATAAGGGATATGTTAAACTACTTAAGTTATTTGTTCACTTTTAGTTTTGATGTTGTGTGGAAAAATTATATAATTCATATCATGTAAAAAAAGAAGCCTATGAGAAATCTCAACTATCTTATTTTATATATTAAAAGAGAAGTCATGACTTCAATTCATGTGTGATATTTTAAAATGGACTATCTAATAGAATTTATGACATTACATTATTCAATCATTAATAACAATAATTAGATTTACTAATAACATTTATTGGGCTTACTAGAATTTTTTATTGGACTAATAGAAATTAGATGATCGATTGGATTTATAGATAGTATAATAAATATATGTTTAAATTAAACTTATATAATTTAATAAAGTAATGGTATAAGTTAATTGTTTATATATTTTTGATGTTAACTTTTAAAATTATATATTTTATTTTTACAAATAACAAAATCATCATTTTCTAACAATAATCAATCTATATTACCTTAAACCAATGAAAACCATTTTCAAATTATATAGTTTACTTTTAAAAATAACAAAAACTAATTATTTAGTTATATACGCCATAATATGAAATTTGAGAAATGTTACAATATCTTTAGAGACGACAATAAAAAAAATATTTTACCAATCTTTACATATATTTCAATAATGAAATAATAATTAAAATATATATATATATATGACAAAATATTTTAAAAATATATAGTATATATGTAAAGATTGGTAAAATATCTATTATATTAAAAGAGAAGTCACGACTTATTTCATGTGTGATTTTTTAGTTTGAACCATCCTTAGATATTTTATAAAATTTTACATAACATAATTATAATATCTTTTCATATCTTTAATTTTTATTTGAAATACAAATAAATAGTTTTAAGAAAATTCTAACAAAATCTTTTAAAAATCTTAAAAATCTTTTCAAGATATAGTTTCAAATATTATTTATAAACAAAAAATTAAAATTATGTAAAATATTTTTAACAATATCCCAAAATTTTGTTTAAGTATTATGTAGATCCAACTTAATTTATTTTTTACATATATTTCAAATTTAGAAATAAAAACAAATATAAATTAGTAATGTTACATAATAATGTTTTTAAAAATTATTACAAAAATAAAAATTTATAAATTTTATATTAATAATATTATAAGCTACATAAATATTATTATAAAATTAGATAGTATACATAATAAAATTATATTTATTTGATAAATTTTATTATATAATTTCAAATATTTTCGTACTAAAAATACCCGCACGGTTGTGCGGGTCGAGATCTAGTAATTAGTTAAATCCAGATCAACTATCCGATTCATGACCAGTGCAATACCAAACATTGATCACATATATTCGTTATGATACCTGTTACACCATATATTTTTCATCAAAACCCACATTTCGATTAAATTACCTCTTCTTAATCTCAGGTTCCACAACTTCAAATTTTTCACATCTTTCTATAAATATATGACTACATAAATTTATGCCAAACCATCATGTAGATTATTTTTCTTTGCCTAACAAATAGATATATTCTTTCTTATTTGCCATACTGATCTGATCCAAAGATTAATCAATATAATATTTTTTCTTCCACACATAGTTAACCAGAATCATTTATTTGAATAATAAACTGCGCTAAACCCTAATCAAGCATGTTTAATTTTGATTCTGTGTGTTCAAAATATATCTTGTATTCTCCAGTCTCTTGGAAGGCATGGTCACTACGACATGTAGACAAGAATTATTGACCTAATAAGAGTCTTGCATAACACTCAGATGGAGTTTTATTAAAATCCTAAGAAACATGAGACACATATTGCACTGTAGTAAAATATTAAAAACATAACACATAGACATAGGATCTTATATTAAAACCCTACGCACATAACACATACGGGCTTATATTAAACCCCTAATGTAGGAGCTTACAGTAAAACTATAAAAACATAACACAAAACCAGACGAGAAAAACGAGAACAAAAACCAAAGGATACCATGGCTTCTCACAGGAGACGCTAACCAGATCTTTACATATATAATTGAAGCTGGCGGAAGTGGTAAGAAAATTAATCAAGCTCCTTGGTTTCTTCATTGAACAGACTCCAAAGTTTGTCAATGTCAAACATGGACGACGATGAGTTCATCAGCGACGTACCTGCCTCGTCAGTAGCCATGGCTGTCGGATCCACCGTATCTACCCCACCGTCCTCCTTCAGCAAACTCTCCCACCACATATTATCTCCATCCATTACATTTTCCTCATCTTTTGTACATGTAATACTATCATCTATGTCAACTTCTGGCAGGCAGTTCACGCCGCTGAGACTGTTGTTGTTGGCAAAAGATCGAGGTTGGGGTTTTCTGACGTTGGCTTTTGAGGCTGGGATGGCCGCTGAGCTAGAAGAGTTTCCCTCTTTAATCTCACTCTTACAAGATGGGTATGATTTCTTACTCATATGGGTGTTCCAGTAATTCTTGACGTCATTAGCGGTCCGACCAGGTAATCTACCAGCAATCAAGGACCACCTAATCATTGTTAATGGTTAATATATATGAGTTAGTGTTAAATCAGAAATTAGGTTAAAAATAAGATTTGGAGCTTCAGAGAAAAAAACCTGTTTCCTAGAAGCTTATGAAGGCGAGAAAGAAGATCAACTTCATCAGAGCTAAGTTTTCCTCTCTTGATACTTGGCTTCAAGTAGTTCAACCATCTTAGTCTGCAACTCTTCCTGCATCGATATAGCCCTAAAAGTCCAAATTAAATATTGACGTCATACTTTATGTTATATGTTATCAAAATACCACTACCAATTGTATATGTCTGGGAGATGGATTTTGTCTCTTGTTCTATACTTTTATCATGAAAAATATAGGCACATCAATGTAATTAATGTAAGTGCACAACTTTTCAGGGTTTTCTGAAAGAAATACTAAGAGCACCCCCATCACTGAACCGATGGAGGAGGTTCATAAGAAAAAAAAATTAATTTTTTTTTTCGTTTGCTTTTAAAAAAAAAAAAATTTCGTTTGCTTTAAAAAAAAGAATAATGGACCAATCGCGGATCGCCACGTGGTGTGGGGTCGCGAAATAGTGTTGATCCGGATTCACCCTAGTAATCCCCAGCGAGCAAGGTTCATAACTTTTATTATATTTTTTTTTTTTGGTTTTTGTGTAAACCCCCCCCCCCCATTGAACCTTTAATGGGGGTGTCCTGAGAGTTTTAGTATCAACATGCTTTACGATCCAACATTTGAGGTTTTTAGTTGTTACTTGATAAATTAGTGGTATGCTAAAATACATTAAATAGAGAGAAAAGAACACAAGAGATTAATTATCTTAGCAAAAAAAAAACAATATTTGAGATCAGTTATCTGTGTAAATAACATACCAGATCTTGAAGGAACTAAGTGCCATTTGCCTTCTCCATACATATCAATGCACTTCCTTAAAAGGAAATCCTCTTCAGCGGTCCATGCACCTTTTCTCAACTCATTCGATGGAGCATCCATTGAGGAATAATCGATGTAATTTTATAAACTAAACGATAATATACGTACACGATCAAGGAATAGTTTGAGTAGCTTTCAAAATCCTTGTGAAGGCTTAATGAGACTGCGTAAGTTTGTATGGGTATATACGTTTATATATACACACTTGAGGGCTTATGGTAACGACGTGCATGTTTCATATCCACAGTTCTTCTATCTTTCGTAATTAGTCTTTTTCGTAATTAGTTTTTGGTTAATTGTTAATCTTTATTCCAAAAAATATTAAATGATTTGTAATAGATCGAGGCATATATGCTTTTAAGACAAAAGATTGGTAAGCTTTTAAGATAGATCATAATGTGGAGGAGCAACCTACACATATGTGAAGGAGTCACTAATACTAACGGGAACAGTTGGGGTCTGAGATACCTGCGCCAGGTTTAGAGGAGATTCACCTGTAGATGCGACATAATCTGTCAGTTCAGGCCCGGCCGATAAATTTTGTGGGGTTAAGCGTTTTAATCTTTTTGGATCTTCTTGAAACTTTCTTAAATTATATTTTGTAAGCAAAATTGAATTTCCAGCATAGTTCATGGCAGTAAAACTAATACAAAGTTCATGGTGTTAAAATTTCAACTGATATGATTTTTTTCGTAGAACACTGTATATCATACATAGTGACTAACTGGTACCAAAACATATTCTGTTTCATACACAGTGATAATAATTTTATAAAAATATATTTCTTTTACAACGATTAATTGTTTTACATCCTTCACTACATTCATTTTTACAAGAAAAATGTGGAACCTGAAATCAACATACATAAGAGTAGGATTTCGATTTGAGGTTTAGGAAGGTCTCCGTATTGAGATCGGAACTCGGCGAGAGAACATAAAAGAAGCTTTATTATGATATAGTTAAACCCGACTAAAAGCTGCATATGTACCCATTGAATAGGGATTACGCCAATTCTAGTTCATAACAAGAGAGTTAAAATATCGAAAGATGTTTTAAAAGAGTTACCGAATTTTTGTAGGAAAGTGCTTTAGATTATTTGAGATGTCTTTTAGACGTAGGAGCCTCCTTATTTATGCAAAGTTGAAGGTGGTCTCTTTTCCTTTTCCTTCAATGTTCTTTTTTCGTCTTTAAGGTATTTTACCTTTTATCATAGATTTTATTTTCAGTGCTGGTTTATTTTTCCTTGTTGACTTCCTACTTTGCCAAATTCCATTTATGAAATGGGAAAATTTAAATGTAAGAATGGCTTTGTAAAGGGTGCTAAACCCATCTCAAACAATAAATGTCTCAATTTGCGAGATTGATGAATTTGCAAAAGTTTAGTTCGACATAAACTGTGATCGGCCAATTGCTTGGTGTAAATGAGCTTTCGTTGTTAGGTACTCTAACATACTCATATTTTAAGACAAATCGTCATAAACGAGCTGTATGGTTAGGCTGCGATAGACGATATGTCATGGAACGACTGTCGCATGCATGTTTCTTATTCAAATCCGAATTCTCATTCCGAGGATGGCTGTGTACAAAATCTGTGCGGATATGTTCTTTCATCCTTTATATACAGAGTGTTCTGAACCGTTCGAATGAGTATTCATGGATGAAGTGTCAGTTGATTAGCTGCTGAGGACAAGTCGGGTGGACATACGGTCATGAACAAATCTTCATGAACAAACTGTCACGAATGGTTCTGTATGACGAGTCCATGGTATTGACCAAATTATCGTAAAAAACAGCAAGACCATGAAATTGGCGTGGTATTGTGATATGTTGTGACGATATAATGCGTGGCAATTTATCTTTGATCCAATATTGGAGATTTGTGGTGATCAACGCATGCTTAGCTTGAGAGTGTGCGCTCGTCCCGTAAAACCAATTCAAAGCACGGTTTGCTGACATGGTAATGCTCTCCCTTTTTACTTTTTCTTTTGTTCAATGATTGCAACTTTCTTTGACTCACATGAAAAGCACAAGATCAAAGTAACGCAAACGAAGTAACTGGCTTTTGTATAATTAATAAGCAAATGATTGGACCTTTTTTTTATTCTAGGGAGCTTTACTTAAACATAACATAAATTAGGTAATATGGCCACAATCATATAATTTTTTTTATTACTAACAAGTTTTAAATACCCAGTGTATCCTTCTATTTATGTTGTGACAAAAAACGTAATTACAAGAATATCATTACTTTTTAATGCCACATCAAAAAAAATCCAAGGCCACGTAGGTAAGCGCTGACATGTATTAATGAACTCAGTCGTAAATCGTTACGACGGTATTGACGACTGAATTAATATACATTATGGCTGATTTAAATTATAACATGGCTGATTTACCCACATAAATCAACCAACGATGCGACTGAGTTATGAGCTGAATTACGAATATAATCAAGCTTTAAGTGACAACTGATTTATAGAAATCTGACTGATTTATGAGCTAACGGCTGATTTACGAACACAAGTTACGACTGATTTATTCTTCGTGTGGATGATTTGTTGAAATTTGACTGAGTTATAGACTTGACACGGCTGAATTATGTTTCTCCGGTTGATGTATTGATCATCGGCTGGCTGAGTATGGGAGGTAGTTACAGATGATTTACGTATAATCAACGCAAACAGCCATAATGAGCTGGATTAATAGTAAAATTGGCCTAATTACGACTGATTTATTAGTGAAAGATTAATTACTATAATAACATTTATTTGTGGTTGATTAATTATTTAACAACACACGACGAACTTGCCACGGCGGTACTCGATGATTATGGATTGAAGGATTTGAATTTATTAGTATGTTGTGGCTCACTTAATTCTACGATGCAGCTGGTTTACTTTTCAGCTGGGATACCAGTTCGTTTTGGCTGACTTATTGCTGTGACGTGGTTGATTTATTTCTCATTTCGGCTGGTTTAGTAGTACATTTGGCTGAGTAACGAGACGAGCTTAAGAATTGGCGTCAGTTTAGCATCTCAAGATTAGAAAAAGTAGGTCTGAGTATGTACTTATTCACACACATAGTAAAAGGAGATAATAATTTCGGACTTATCCAAGTATAAGAGATATAGACAAATACAAAAGACGAAACATCGTGAGATAAAATTAAATTTGTGAATAAAATGTCGCATGCACAGAACATACATTTGACGACAGATTTATAGGAACTTCATAGCTGACTTATTTCATGGGGTTTAGGTCAAGAGTAAATTGATTCTCTTATAGATATACTATATATATATTTGTCATGATCTTCTTTTTTTAAGAGAATGAAAATGTTACTTAACAACTAGATACTGAAAGTAACTATGTATCAAAACATTTAGATACCATTCAGATTGTATAGGTTTAGGTCTCTTATGGATATACTATATATATATATGTCATGATCTTATTTTTTAAGTAAAAGAAAATGTTATAGGGAAGTTTACGCAACTATAACAAATATTAGGACAATTGACTACAACCATACATATCTTTTTTTTATTACTGACATTTTTAAAATACCAAGCGTGCCATTTTTTAATATTATAAGAAAAAACGTATTTACAAGAATACCATTACTTTTCTCTGCCACGTAAGCAAAAACCTGGCGCCAGGTAGAAATTCGGTTTTGTGTTTTCATTAAGTCAGCCGTAAAGTGCTACATACGTCGTTACGGCTGATTTATCGCTATGTTTCGGCTGAATTAATTAAAGCGACTGACTTAAGAGAAAAAGGCTGACTTAAGACCATACGTCAGCCGCCCGGTATGACTGATTTACAGAAATCTGGCTGATTTATGGGATAACGGCTGACTTACGTACACAAGTTACTGACTTATACATCAGCGGTTTATTTCTGGAAAATTTGGCTGAGTTGTAGTAACGACACAACTGAGTTAATACACATCGAAGGACTAAGTTATTGAAGTTCCGGACGACTAATGGGATGTTTTGACGGCTGGGTTTATATTAATCAGCCGTAGTTGGATGGATTAATAGTAAACCCAGCTTGTTTTCGGCTGAGTTATTAGCGAAACATTAATTACTAAAATAGATTAGGTTGACGACTGATTTATGTGACGATAAGGATGGCTTATGGTTTTTCATTATAATTACGGCTGATTTTTTAGCAAAAGACTAATTACTGGAATGTATCCACGACTCGGCTGACTTATTGATTAACTGGTTTTCCATGTCATCCGCCAGGTCATCAACTTGGATTTGCCATGTCATCACTAACGGACGAAATTTACAACTTGTGTTTACGCGAATTTCCATGTTCTTCTTCATATTAATTAGAGTCCCTATTAGTTATCTATCATCTTCATCTTTCTCAGTTGGTTATGGATCCGGTAATTATTGTTTCCGGTAACTGGATTAAGAAAAAGAGATATGTATTCAACGTCGACAGTAAAGGGTGTAGATTTCTTCATTTAGATGAGAAAACAATACATGAAGATTTCAAAAAGTCTGTCCTCAATGATTATGGATTGAATGATTTGAGGGATCATATTCAGCTTAGCTACATGTTCTAAAATAAAACATTGAAAGAAATGGCGTACGACACTCCACCAGTTTACGTGACCAATACTCAACAATTGTAAAGGTTTTTAAGCCTAAAGAAAATTGAACAACTACGTCTCTGTGTGGAGATTACGGAGAACAAGGATGACAGAGCAAGAGAGAATACTAAAATAGTTATCAGTTTTAGCTCAGAAGTAGAAGCTTCAGAAGTTGAGTCCAGAGACGAAAATTACAGTGCGAGTTACGATGGTTTCAGTTTAGAGAAGGAACAAGATGACAATGATAATGATTGCTCTAGTAAGGTGGAAGGAGAAAAACACGACGAAGTTGGAGGAGATGAAGTCGGAGAAGATGAAATAGTTAATTAAAACGAAAAATATGATGAATTTGAAAGCCGATTTGATATGTTCGACGACTCGGACGGTGTGTCATATGAAGATGATAACTTCATCTCATACGGTGAGTCTCCTTCAGAAGACGAAGATTCACCAAC